CAGGGAGATTATTTTTTCATTTACTGTTATACAGTGTGGTGTATAGGAAGGTGGTGTCAATTATTTGACAACCAGTTTCATTGTGTGCTTTTCCACTGTAATCAGCTTCTGATCAGCTGCTGAGAACAGCACTAGTTAAATGTGTATAGAGTGAATTGTTTAAGTAGTAGATATATGGTTTGGATTGCTGGATGAAGTAACCAAGGAACCTCCGTGATGATGTGATAATTAGAGTCAGTTAGAAACCACCCAGCATGGATGTTGGGGTGCTCACAGGCCTCCTAACTCCAATGCTTATATGACAAAACAGTTTTATACAGTGTTTATGTGGTTACCATGCAAATTTGAATTCAATTATAGTATTGATTTATTGTAAAATTTTCAAATACAATATACATAGGACCTAAAAAAAATAAAAAAATCTCTACATACTCATGTCCTCATATTCACTGATTAACCAAAACATTAAAAGGACACTACCATCACCAAATTAACTTTAGCTTAATTAAGCAATTTTTTGTGTATAGATCTTGCCTCTGAAGTCTCACTGCTCGGTTCTCTGCCATTTAAAACCATTGACAGGTGAAGTAAATACCATTGAATAAATCTTTACAATGGCCCCTGCTAAGGGGTGGGATATATAAGGCAGCAGAACAGTCAGTTCTTGAATTCATGTGTTGGAAGCAGGAAAAACGGACACGTAAAAGATCTGAGTGACTTTGACAAATGGCCAAATAGTGATGACTAGAGTTGAGTGAACTGTAAAGTTCGGGTTCGTACCGAACATTAAATTTTTTGGACCCCGGACCCGAACACGGACATATCACTGTATGTTCGGGTTGGAGTTCGGTGTTCAGCGATTTAATGGCGCATTTTCAAAGGCTGCAGGCAGCCAATCAACAAGCGTTTGACTCGTGTGCCCTTAGAAGCCATCACAGCCATGCCTACTAATGGCATGGCTGTGATTGGCCAGTGCAGCATGTGATCCAGCCTCTATATATAAGCTGGAGTCGCGTAGTGCCGCATGCACATGAGGTCTTATTAGTGTAGGGAGAGGATGCTGCCGCTGATAGGGACAGCTTGGGAAAGAATTATGCAAACTGGTACATTAATGGAATGCACTTCATATCTGAGAGTCAAATAGAAGCGTCAAATACTGCTGTCACATTGCAGTTGTAAACATTCTAATTTTCTGGGTGCTAATCTGCTAAATAGTAAATTTGCGGACTGCACTTCATATCTGAGAGTCAAATCGAAGCGTCTAATAGTGTGCTTACAGCGCAGTTGTAAACATTCTTATTTTCTGGGTGCTAATCTGCTAAATAGTACATTTTGGGGCATGCACTTCATATCTGAGAGTCAAATAGAAGCGTCTAATAGTGTGCTTACAGCGCAGTTGTAAACATTCAAATTTTCTGGGTGCTAATCTGCTAAATAGTAAATTTGCGGACTGCACTTCATATCTGAGAGTCAAATAGAAGTGTCTAATAGTGCGCTTACTGCGCAGTTGTAAACATTCTAATTTTCTGGGTGCTTATCTGCTAAATAGTACATTTTGGGGCGTGCACTTCATATCTGAGAGTCAAATCGAAGCGTCTAAAAGTGTGCTTACAGCGCAGTGGTAAACATTCTTATTTTCTCGGTGCTAATCTACTAAATAGTACATTTTGGGGCCTGCTCATCATATCTGAGAGTCCAATCGAAGCATCTAATAGTGTGCTTACAGCGCAGTGGTAAAAATTCAAATTTTCTGGGTGCTAATCTGTTAAATAATACATTTTGGGGCCTGCTCTTCATATCTGAGAGTCCAATGGAAGCATCTAATAGTGTGCTTAGAGCGCAGTTGCAAAAATTCAAATTTTCTGGGTGCTAATCTGCTAAATAGTATATTTTGCGGCCTTCTCTTCATATCTGAAAGTCCAATTGAAGCGTCTAATAGTGTGCTTACAGTGCAGTTGTAAAAATTCTAATTTTCTGGGTGCTAATCTGCTTAGTACATTTTGGGGCGTGCACTTCATATCTGAGAGTCAAATACAAGCGTCTAATAGTGCGTTTACTGCGCAGTTGTAAACATTCTAATTGTTTTGCTGCTAATCTGCTGCTAACATTGGAGTTTTAAAAAGTCAATTAAAAAAAATAAAAATTGGGGGAGCTAAATAGTATATTTGGGGTGTGCACTTCATATCTGAGAGTCAAATAGAAGCATCTAATAGTGCGCTTACAGCGCAGTGCTAAACATTGTTATTTTCTGGGTGCTAATCTGCTAAATAGTACATTTGTGGACTGCACTTCATATCTGAGAGTTAAATAAAAGCATCTAAAATTGTGTTTACAGCGCAGTCGTAAACATTTTTATTTTCTGGGTGCTAATCTGCTAAATAGTACATTTGAGGACTGCACTTCATATCTGAGAGTCAAATAGAAGCGTCTAATAGTGTGCTTACAGCGCAGTGGTATATATTCTTATTTTCTGGGTGCTAATCTGATAAATAGTACATTTGCGGACTGCACTTTATATCTGAGAGTCAAATAGAAGTTTCTAATAGTGAGCTTACAGCGCACTTTCAAAACTTATAATTTTTTGGGTGCTAAATAGTACATTTGCGGCCTGCGGAGAATTTCTTGCAGTCCAATAAACTAAAAAAAAAAAATAATTGTTGACTGTTGGCGGTTACATTGGCGACTGACATAAAATATCTGTTAGTTTGGTGGGTGAACGCAAAGAATGAGGATGTGGCAGCAACACCACCACGTCCGCCACCGTCCCCAAGCATCTCCACACTGTCCCATGGAAGCATTCCGCTGTCTATCTCCCAAACACTGGAGAGAAAAAGAAGTACACCCCTACCCACCCGCGATCCCTGGCCTGAACGCCAGCATTTCAAAATTTGTGGCCTTTGAAATGCTGACATTCTGTCTCATGCAGACGGACAGTTTTAAAAACCTGATGGCGGTGGCTGTCCCACAGTAGGTGGTTCCCAGCCGCCACTATTTTTCCAGGTGAGCCATCCCTTCCCTGCACAACCAATTGGCGGACAAAATCAGGTGTGCACTGCACAACTCCATCAGTGGCAAGGTCCACATCACCACAGATACGTGGACCAGTAAGCAAAGGCAGGGACGCAATATCTCCCTAACTGCACTCTGGGCAAATGTAGTGGTGGCTGGGCCTGATGCAGATAGCAGTTTGGCGCATGTCCTTCCGCCACCGAGGATTGTAGGGCATTTCTCTTTGCCTCCTGTCGCCTCCTACTCCACTTTCTCCTCCTCTACCACCACCTCATTCAGGCAGCATAACACCTTCACCACCAACTTCAGCACAGCCAGCAGGCTGTTTTAAAACTGATATGTTTGGGGGAAAAACCCCACACCACTCAGGACCTGTGGACGGGCATAGAACAACAGACCGAAGAGTGGTTGTTGCCACTGAGCCTCAAGCCTGGCCTGGTGGTGTGCGATAATGGGCGAAATCTCGTAGCAGCATTGGGCCTAGCCGGTTTGACGCACATTCTGAAATTCCTGAAAAACTACCCAGATATATCAGAGCTGCTGCAGAAAGTGCGGGCCGTCTGTGCGCGCATTCGGAGTTCTCACCCTGCTGCTGCTCGCCTGTCTGTGCTGCAGCGTAACTTCAGCCTTCACGCTCACCTTCTCATATGCGATGTGCCCACAAGGTGGAACTCCACCTTGCACATGCTGGAGAGACTGTGCGAGCAGCAGCAGGAAATAGTGGAGTTTCAGATGCAGAACGCACAGGTCAGTCACTCTGCGTAACAGCACCACTTCACCACCAATGAGTGGGCCTCCATGCGAGACCTGTGTGCCATTTTGCACTGTTTCGAGTACTCCACCAACTTGGCCAGTGCCGATGACGCCGTTCTCAGCCTTACTATCCCGCGTCTATGTCTCCTTGAAAATACGCTGCGGGCGATGATGAACGAAGATGTGGCACAGGAGGAAGAGGAGGAGGAAGAGGGGTCATTTCCATGGTTATCAGGCCAGTCATTCACAAGTGCCTTGGAGGGTGGGTTCCTGCACCAGCATAGGCCAGGTACACAATTGTCCAGCCAGGGTACAGTTCTGGAGGATGAGGAGGAGGATGATGAGGATGAGGAGGAGGAGGAGGAGGAACGTGTTCAAAGCAGGTTGCCACCCAACGCAGCTCGTGGGCATCACTGGAGTGTGGCTGGGGGGATACAGAGGACACAGACGATACACCTCCCACAGAGAACAGCTTGTGCTTGCCTCTGGGCAGCCTGGCACACATGAGCAACTACATGCTGCAGTGCCTGCGCAACGACTGCCGAGTTGCACACATTCTAACTTGTACTGATTACTGGGTGGCCACCCTGCTGGATCCCTGTTACAAGGACAACGTGTCGTCCTTAATTCCCTCACCGGAGCGTGATCGGAAGGTGCGCGACTACAAGCGCACGCTGGTAGACGCGCTGCTGACGGCATTCCCAACTGACACCGGGGGCTCAGTGATAGCACAAGGCAAAGGCAGAGGAGGAGGAAGTGGTCACCAACGCAGCTGGGGCACCGCCAGCACCTCAGAAGGCAGGGTTAGCATGGCCGAAATGTGGAAAAGCTTTGTCAGCATGCTACAACAACCAGCACCACCAGCTGATATGGAACGTCTTAGCAGGAGGGAGCATTTCAGCAACATTGTGGAACAGTACGTGTGCACACGCCTACACGTACTGACTTATGGGTCTGCCCCATTCAACTTCTGGGTCTCCAAATTGGGCACATGGCCTGAGCTTGCCCTTTATGCCTTGGAGGTGCTGGTCTGCCCTGCAGCCAGTGTATTGTCTGAACGTGTGTTTAGCATGGCAGGGGGCATTATTACAGACAAGCACAGCCGCCTGTCCACAGCCAACGTGGACAAGTTCACA